GAAAATTGTATAATGTAATGGCCAGCCTTAGATTTACCACTAAAAGTTTGTTAGTTACAGAGGTGGCGGGGTTAAAAGAAAGTAAGAGTTTTACACAGTGGCTAAATGGGCAGCACTTCCACCTGGCAGTACTAGGGTTGTTGGTTCGAATCCTAACCATGGCACCAATTTGCATGTTCTCCCTGTTCCTGCGTGAGTTTCCTCCGGGTACTCTCATTTCCTCCCACACCAAAAGACTTGCTGGTAGGTTAATTGGATCCTGTCTAAATTGGCCCTAGTATGTATGAATGTAAATTAGGGACATTAAATTGCACACCCCTTGAGGGTTAGGGACTGATGTGAATGCACAATATATATGTAGAACGCTGCATAAATTGACAGCGCTAAGTAAGTACCTGTAATAAATAAAATACTAAATGCAGCCGCTGCAAGTAGTAAGACATTATTAGTGGCATATTATTTTTAAATGACGAGTTAAAAAAAAAAGGGGGGGGTGACGATCGCGGCGTCAGACCCCAGCCCTTCTCACCAAACTCGTGACCGTAAGGACTAGCCAATCTAAAACCGCGCTGTCACGTGCGTAACAATGCCATGCCCAGCTGCACTCTGCACAAAGATTTTCCAGCTAATGGACCACAATCTGTGTATCTGCATCCTGGGACCGATTGTTACTGGGTCAGGTTAATTACGCAATTTACCCTTAACACTGCCACCACCTCCTTTTTGTACAGAGAAAGAGGAAACTCGGCAATGTTTGCATAAGCGTCAGTATACCACTGTCACCGAAGAGATATACCGAAGTTTAAAACACACACACACAGTAGTGCTCTTCAGAGGCAGGGGTTCTTAGTTTTCATTAAAGAGTTTTAGAAACAGTTCAACACTTTCAGAAAGTAAGATTTTATTACTAAAAGGTCAAAAGGGTGCAATAAAAATATTTACAGAAAAAGATGTAGCCAATATATATATATATAAAAATACAAAGAGCAATAACACAGTAAAAGAGATAACAGAAAGGAATTTAGGGAGGTAAAGTACTTGCCAAACGTCCTGGTTTAAGCAGATCAGGTTTCAGAGCCAAAAGGATGCCTTATCTCCCAAAGTTAGTTCCGATGTTAAAAAGGGAGAATCTTCAACTTCCCTCAACTCAGCTCAGCTTAGCTTTTTCTAGGAACTCAGCAGGGTGTCTCCCTAAAGCAGAGAACCAATCGCCTCATTTGGGCGGGTGTTGCAGGTAGAGACCCAAGCTATGACCAAAAACTCTCCCAATTTATGTCATGGTTCATAACTTATTCTCGGTGCATTTAGCAGCCTGGCCACTAGTAGAGTAATATGCAGACGTATCTGCTGAACGGTTAGATATGAAATATGACATACATGCTTGGATGGTTAAGGAGATATAATTTTCTGCTCTCCTGTATATGCCAGATAGGGGGTGTAATATATCAGGCGACTTGCATTACAGTGAGCCGTCCAAATATGTGCTCCATGTTTATGTAACTATGTCCTATTTGAAGATATAAAATTGTATGGAAAAGTGAGTTTTTAAATGGAAGTCTGTTTTTACGACTACCTGGAATGTCCTTGAAGCTCAGTGAGGGCTTGGTGTATGGTTTTACGATCCCTTCTCCAGCAGGAGTCTCGCAGACATAGGGGCACCAGATCGTGTGGGATTTATAACCATGACGCCCTCCCAATGAGTTTGCTGCCTGTGATCTGCATCAAACAGACCACATGTCACTCAACAGAGAGGGAGGGGGGATGAGGAAAGCTGATTTGGGAGTAGAAATGATACAAGATGGAAGATTCTTTGCCCAAAATGGAGATTCGCATCCATCTCTGTTTGCACGTTTGCTACAGGGGGTACTTAACTTAAAATACAACTAGGCATATTACAAAGCAGTGAATCTGCCAGTCAGCAAACATTTATTTATTTCAGGTTCTTATATAGCGCCGTCAATTTACACAGCACTTTACATAATTATTATTATAATACAGTGTTTATATAGTGCCAAAAGGTTTGCTCAGCGCTGTACATTAAAGTGGGGGGACAGTACATGAGACAATACAGTAACAATACACGAGGGGTTTGAGGGCCCTGCTCTTTCGAGCTTACAATCTAGGCGGGAGGGGGTAGAGGTACAGGAGGAAGTGGCTGAGGGGGATGGAGTGGTAGGAGGAGTGGAGGAGAACAGCTGTTAGGTGAGGGTGGGGTAGGCTTCCCTGAAGAGATAGGTTTTCAGGGTGCACCTGAAGGTGAGGAGGGTAGGTGACAGTCTGATGGATTGGGGTAGGGAGTTCCAGAGGATGGGGGAAGTCCTGGAGAAGTCCTGCAGTCGGACGTGGGAGGAGGAGACCAGGGAGCTAGAGAGTAGGAGGTCTTGTGAGGAGCGAAGGGCACAGGTAGGGTGGTATTTGGGTATCAGGTCAGTGAGGTAGTTTGGGCAGCGTTATGAATGGCTTTGTATGTCAGAATTAGTAATTTGAATTTAATGCGTTGGGCAATTGGGAGCCAGTGAAGGGATTGGCAGAGGGGGGGGTGGCAGAAGTGGAGCGGTGGATGAGTCTAGCCGCTGAGTTCAGAATAGACTGGAGCGGGGATAGCGTGTGTTGGGTAGGCCGGTGAGAAGGGAGTTGCAGTAGTCTAGGCGTGAGATTATAAGGGAGTGTACGAGTTGTTTAGTGGTGTCTGGGGTACACACATATATATATATATATAAAAATAAAAATAACATTCACATCAGTCCCTAACCCTCAAGGGGTGTACAATCTAAGATCCCTAACTTACATTCATACATGCACATACTAGGGCCAATTTAGACAGGAGCCAATTCACCTACCAGCATGTCTTTGGAGTAAACATCCAATTTAGGCATTTTAAAATGATGATTGGTTCACAGGAATTTATTCAGACAATGTTCAGTGAAAGTCATATTAGGCCTTCGAAAGAAGTCCCATAGACATTTACATGTGTATAAAAATCCTATAAAGAGTTGGGGAGTACAACGTTTAATGGCAAATCCTTGTACATGTCTACTGCACAATCGGTTTACTCTGACTCCACCCCCCCCACCCCCCCTTCACGCCAATAACTTTATACAGGTAATCCAGCTTTAATAACTAAGAAGTAAAAGCATTGATCTAATATAATAGGACTTCTTAACTTCCTAAGTTATGAAGAAACAAAAATGGACTAATACCACCAGCTCATAAGGGCTCACTGAGCAATGTTTAAAAAGGACAAAAACAATCAGGAGATTCTATCACTTTATTGTAAAAATGATTTATAATAATATTATTGTTATATCGTTATAATGATTATATCATTTTATATAGAACTATCCATAATTCTTACCAAACCCCACTACGGCAATAGCTCAAATATAGGCAATGCTGGCAACAAGGGGTTAAGGAAACAATCTCAGGAAGAGAGACCCGCGGGAACTTATCCAGCGGAAACTAAACTCTGCTAATATCAGGAAAGTATTTGTGGCAAGGGCAGATAAACGGTCACTCCAGTTACAACATATAATCTATGTTAAATGGCAAAGGAATTTTAGTACACGATCCAAAAAGGAGATTTCCTTTAAACGTACCGCTGAAATCATCATATGAGTCACACCTCAGCAAGCCACACTGTCAAACAGAATGGAGAGAAGACAACTGTCTTAACAGCATATCCCCACACTCCAACAGTAAATGGACACCAAATTTTGTGATGGGGGGGAAAGGAAGGAAATTAGTGAGTGGGAAAGCCAAAGGGGGGAGATTAGGAGAATGATACCGTCAGACATGTGCAGTATTGCCTTTTATGGTTTAATCCCAACTCTCAGCACCATGGCTGAGGACGTCACATTTGTAAAAGGGAGAGGAAACCAGAAAAATACTGTTGACGTAGTGGCTGGATGGTTCACAGCAATCTAACACATATGATGTGAACCAAGATAAAGTTTAATTACTTGCTACTTAAAACATGGAAGTTCAAGCTCCCCCACTGCTCTTAATTAACAGGAGAGTGAACAGGCTCCGGGTACAGAAGTATTACATGGTCACTGAAAGAATGAAATGAATGATGCAAAAAGAATACTGCAGACTTTTCTTAAAGCAAGGGTGTGCTTGTGGACAGACGCTTGTAGAAATGATAGGCAAATAAGATTTGCCTGCAGACTTCGTATGACCTGTCCTGGAGCCCCCCCCCCCCCTTTGTCATTGATTAGTTATTATTATTATACAGGATTTATATAGCGCCAACAGTTTGCTCAGCGCTTTACAATATAATGGGAGACAATACATCAACAATACAGTTCAATACAAGAGGGAAAGGAGGGCCCTGCTCCTTGGAGCTTACAATCTAAGAGTTCTCTAACTACATCACACAGTGGTCAATAAGGACAATAAGGAGGTGCCATGCTTGACGTTTCCCGAAATGACCTGTTGATATCACTTTCTGAATTGAAGAATTTCCAAACATTTCCTGTAAAATACATATATTTAGATAAACATAGTACATACACAGAGGGTGAATAATAGAAACATTTTTAAATCAGTGCGAAATGAGAACATTATGTCTGTGACAGCTGTCCTTACGAGCAATACCAAATGTCATCAATTCCTTTGCTTCTTTTTTTAAACCAAAATTAAAAAAAAAAAAAAAAAACTAAAAAATTATGGACCTTTCCCACTGCTTGCTAGGAAAGCAGATGTTGTTTTCCCTAAAAAAATTTAGAAAATTAAATCCACACGTTCAGATGCACAGAGAAAAGGAAGAGGCAATGAAAGTCGTCAGGACATATGCTCACAACGGCAGCCATACCCCACTGCAAAATCACTTGCCAGATTTTTCAAACTCTATTTTATGCCTTGGCCACCAGCTCGATATTTCATTAAAGCAGAGTTCCACCCAAAAGGGGAAGTTCCGCTTTAAAGATTGGTCCCCCGCTTCCCATTAAAGATTGACACCTTTGGAGAGCCGGGGGGGGGGGGGGGGTGGAAACAGGTACCCGAATTTGACAGGTACCCGCTCCCACGTCCGCTGCAATCGCCTAGGCGATCGGAAGTGGAAGTTGTCCTCCCCCCTCCCTCCCCAAAGTCTTTTCGGACATGTGACAGGTCCCAGAAGACTACAGGACCATTCAGGAAGTGCAGTGCTACTCGTGCATGAGCAGTGGGCACCCGGCTGTGAAGCCGCAAGCTGTCACTGCCAGGTGCCCACACTGAAGATGCCGGTGCCTGGAATACAGGACGGCCGGTGAAACGGGCTGCGGCGGGGGCAACGCAGGACAGGTGAGTGGCTGTTTTTTTAAAAAGTCAGCAGCTACAGTTTTTGTAGCTGCTGACTTTTTTTTTATAGAGTGAGTGGAACTCTGCTTTAACTTGCCCTGGTAGACAGAAATCCCTGTCGTGCAAGGCCCCCCCCTACCTCCATACTCACATTAGGTACTAACAATGTGTTTTTTGTTTTTTTTACCCATAACTAACTAATCTACATATACTCACTAGGCTCTTTATTAGGTACGCCTGTTCAATTGCTTGGCAACACAAATTGCTAATCAGCCAAATCACATGGCAGCAACTATTCTGAAAAAAAGTCGAAGTCCACTTTGCGATATTGAGTTTGATACCAACCATAAAGTTACTACTATATTACCTACAGTATAGTGTCATATTTACACTCACCAGCCACTTTATTAAGTACACCAGTTCAATTGCTTGGCAACACAAATTGCTAATCAGCCAATCACATGGCAGCAACTCAATACATTTAGGCATCTAGATGTGGTGAAGACGACTTACTGAAGTTCAAACTGCATCAGAATGGATTAAAAAAAAAGGGGATTTAAAGGGACTTTGAACATAGCATGGTTGGTGGTGCCAGACGGGTTGGTCTGAGTATTTCAAAACTGCTGATTTTCTGGGATTTGCACGCACAGCCATCTCTAGTGTTTATAGAGAATGGTTTGAAAAAGAGAAAATATCCAGTGAGCAGGAGTTGTATGGACAAAAATGCCTTGTTGATGACAGAGGTCAGAAGAGAATGGGCAGACATTGCTGCGACATTCAGATGGTAGGGTCAGAGTTTGGAGTAAACAAAATAAAAGCATGGATCCATCATACCTTGTATCAACGGTTCAGGCTAGTGGTGGTGGTGTAATGGTGTGAGGGATATTTTTTTGGCACACTTTGGGGCCCTTAGCCCTCCTAGATTGTAAGCTCGAAAGAGCAGGGCCCTCGAACCCCTCGTGTATTGTATTGTTACTGTATTGTCTCATGTACTGTCCCCCCACTTTATTGTATAGCGCTGAGCAAACCTATTGGTGCTATATAAACACTATATAATAATAATAGTACCAACTGAGCATCGTTTAACACCATGGCCTACCCGAGTATTGTTGCTGACCAAGTCCATCCCTTTATGGCTACAGCGTACCCATCTTCTAATGGCTACTTCTGGCTGGACAATGCACCATGTCACAAAGCTCAAAATCATCTCAAAAATGGTTTCTTGAACATGACAATGAGTTCACTGTACTCTAATGGCCTCCACAGTCACCAGATCTCAATCCAATAGAGCACCTTTGGGATGTGGTGGAACAGAAACTGCTTGATGCGATCAAGTCAATATGGACCAAAATCTCTGAGAAATGTTTCCAACACCTTGTTATGCCACGAAGAATCAAAGGCAGTTCCGAAGGCAAAAGGGGGTCCAACCCAATACTAGCAAGGTGTACCTAATAAAGTGGCAAGTAAGTGTATATCTTGGATCTACAAGAAATTTTCCAGGAATGTAATGGTATATATTAAGCTGGGGATTTTAATTACAAACCATGCTTTGCAGAGTGCTTTAAACAAATTAGTGGAAACCATAGTATCTTAATCAAATTTTTCCAGTATATCATCTCAAGTTATCACCCTAAGAGACATGATTGCTACAGGTTGTGCAATTCATGTTTTTAATATCATTAAATTAGCAGTTACAGGAAATAAGCAAATCCAATCTGTATAGTGTTACTGCTGTCAAGGGAACATGGCATCAGTGCCAACACCAGAGAGGTCACTCATATACCTTTATTCATGGCAATTGGCTCCCTTCTAGGATTCATAACTGAACATTGCAGTAATTGGCCGCTAGCAAGATGCTGGAGGATTGGAGTTCCTCTGGATTTTCAAAACCTTTAGAAGTAAATTTCAAAACGGTCTACTGCAATCAGATTCATAAGGCTTTCTACAGTAATTATGAGCGAAACCAAAGCCTCTTATTACACAATTAGGAACTGTGAAATCTCCATCTATTTCAACCTGGGGGGTAAAGCTTTAGTAGACTTAAAAGAGAAGTATGTTTTTATTTTAAATCATACTTACCTAGGTGGATGCAGCATTGATCCGATGCTGCATCTGTCCCCCGCCGCCGGCTCTAAGGGTGAGCACTGAGCGATAAGACACCGCTGATTGCCCACGATGTCCCTGCCGCTCTGTCAGTCACCACTGTCTGCTCAATGAACTACGAGTGCAATCAGCACCCTCGCAGTTCATTGAGAACTACAAGCCCTAGGCCACAATGGCTGACAGTGGCTGCAGTGAATTAATTCATGCACAGCTTTAAAATTGTGACAGCGGGTGCAGGGAGAAGGTCCCGTGTCCGCTGTCACAGGGAAGGGGAGGGGGGGGGGTGAGGTGGTGGATACAGAACGTGTACACCCTAAATACGGGTGTAATATGTTCAGAAAGGTGAACTTCTCCTTTAACTCAGTTTACCTGCCAAGTGGTCAGTGCTTTTGCCCATCCTGTTCTAAGAATTGCACATCTGGCTGACAGTAGACGCTTTTCTCAGCTGAAGTTAAGCCACACTAGGCCTCTTGCACACGGGAGCCAAAACAGGCACGTTTTTACCAATTTGAAATGAGATGCATTGTTTTCTATGGAACAATGCACACAGCTGAGTAAAGAGAAGTAATACAGCGATGAGTACGAAACCACAAAACAAATATAGAAAAGTTTACATTTGCATGCAGCAGTTGATGCGTATACGTATGTTTCCATGTCTAGAACCATGTTTACACAAGTATAAATGAGTATATTACAACACAGGCAATGAGGAAGAATTTTACTTGTCTATAATGCCTACACACTGTTATGCGCCTGTTTACGTAAAGGTCTTTACGGAACCTTTTGTGCAGGATCTTTCTGTCAACAAGATCCTGAGTATTAACATCAGAAAAGTAATACGCCCGGGTGCAAATGGCCTTACAGGTTTACTGCATACCCCCAGCCTGGAAAATAAAGAGAAGAGGAGTACAATGAAATTTGCTCACTGATACACTCATCAACTGATTAGCTCCTCGTGCTGCTTCTCCCTTTCAGTCTGTGCTCAGCTGTACAGGGGATTCAAGAGGCCAATAAATACAGGAATTTCCATGTATTCATAAAACTAAAGCCCTAGTTTGCAAAAGGTAAAGAAAATATCCTCCCTTACGATGGGACTGCTCCCACACTGCAAGGCTTAATTTCTTATATACCTCAAGGAAACAGGGAAAGCAGCTTTACTTAATAGTCGGCTCACCCATGCTCCAGTGGTGGACTGTTCCTTGGCATCCTCATGTCTCATCAGTCTTAAAAAGTGGAGTTCCAGACATTTTTGTGTATTAAACCTGTAGCTGCTGACTTTTAATAAACACACACTCACCTGTCCCATGGTCCAGCGACGTGCTCACCTACACTTTCCCTTCTCTCCCCACCGCCAGCATCTCAACTGTGGGCACCAAGCTGTGACAGCTGGCGGCTTCACAGCCGGGTGCCTACTACGCATGTGCGACTCACGCTGCGCATCCTGATTGGTCTGGCAGTCTTCTGGGACAGAGGGTTAGTTTCCATCTAGGAATATTATCGTTTACTTTATTCACTGCAGGTGATTGCGCAAAGGTTTCTTCTTATTTATTTAAAATGTTTTTTTAATCTTAATGCAGGGAATGTATTAAGGTAAAAATGTTTTACAGTTAGAACCACTTTAACGTTTGCCATATGGGCATAGCTCCGGTGCAAAGGAGGACTTTTTCTTTCCCCAAAGATTACCTGTAAATTCAATTACAGATTATCGCAGAGCCGCAATAATGCTCATCTTATATCTGCTTGGAGGTCTACTTGCACTTTGGGCATTCATCCCTGGGTGCACACTGCCCTAAACATTTCTAGCGCTTGGGTGCACCACCTAGCCCCATGCAGCCACAGCAGCTGTCAGCCTCTCAGTGTGACACGCTTCTGGCAGCTGGCTAAACAGGACACCAGTGTCCATGGGGCAAGCAATACCTGCAACTACAGAGATCTAGCTAACAAAACAGCCAGGATTATGAAATGAATGCCAGGATGAACATCAGAGGCTTTCAGAAGGTAGGACGTGCTCCATGTCTTAGTGTGTATGCAATATACCTTTAAGTTTTCACAAGAACTCAGGTATGCTACATTTTCCTTGAAAATTGAACCATGAACGAAAACAGCTGTTCAAAAAAGGAAAAGGGAACATCTTTCTCTTGGGAATTTATTTAAATGTGTAGCTAAACAAGCCTAGTGCTCAAAGTATTTAACCCTTGGTGTTTTAGCACATAGCAGAACAGATTAATGAGCATCATCTCTCACTCCAAGATCACCATAAGGTCACACATGGCTGTTTGTAGCCAAAATGCGTTCATTTGTCATCAGGAGTACGCACTGCCAAATAAAAGTTCATGCTGTCTCATTTCTTTTGGACATTTAAAGTCTGTTAAACAGTTTTCATCTGCCCTAAAAAGGGAATGGTACCATTTATGACAGAACGCATGGCCAGAGATACTCAGAAGATAAACACCTTTCAGCCTCATGCTATCAGCAGAGCACAGTGGGTTGTATTTTACAGCAAGGAACAAAAGACGACAGTGATATGGAGGACAGTAACTGAAACTAAAAAGAATTCGGAAAAAAAAAAAAAAGGAAATATATGCTGATTATAAAAAGAAGCTGCAAAGCTTTCAGGAAACGATATAGTCTGCCCAACAGGAAAGAAGCTTCAGCTGGCCACTGACTAGATGAACTCTCATCTATTTCAAGAGAACAGGAGAGATCCACCAACCACCCAAACCTGCTGGGACTTTTCCTCCATTTCCTACAGGGAAAAGGGGACTATTCTTAAAGAATTAGTCCATCTAAATCCAGCATTTTTCATTTTAGATGGATGCCAGTGGTGGAATCAGCTGTTGGATTCAGGAACTTAATCAGTGAAACTGGTACTTCAGTACAGTTGTTTCCTCACATCT